CGGTTCCCAGACGGGCTGGGGTGGCGAGCGAGGGGCTCCGGGAGTTGCCTCAGACCCTCGCCCTCCCGCCCTCATCCGAGTATGCTGGTGTTCAGTATCTGCTCGTCTGAAGGGCGTTTGCTTCGCGTGCAGCGGGGAGGGCGGGACCGCCTTTGTGCCAAGTCGAGTTCCGAGGGCTGCGGCTTCGCAGGTGCCTCTTTTGTGTGGCGTCGGTTGCCATGTGCGCGCTCTCCTGCTGCGGCCGAGGACCCGGAGGTGATCGGAGGGGCCCCCCGCCCGTCACAGGGCGGTGGGAAGCGGAGCAGGGGGGGGGAGAAAGAGGGATTTTCGGCTTTGTGGCGTGCTGACTCAGCGCGCCCGTTGGGTGCCTCCCTCTCCTCCCGCTCCCGCTGCCCCCGGCAGAGGCCGTGCTCCTGGAAAATCTCACGGCCCTCCGCTGGCCGACTCAGAGGAGGCCCGGGCGACGCCTGTGGTGGTTCTTCGGGGGAAAACCGGCCACGTTACCCGGAACCCCGCGCACGAAGCAATTGTTGAGAGGACGAAAGTGTCGGGAGTGACGGCCCTGCCCGAGCCGCCATCGGTGCCCACGCCCGCCTCGAGACTGAACGCAGCCACACCCCGACCCGGGAAGGGAGCCACAAGGATGCTAACCTGACTCCTTACCCTGGCAGGACTTCGCCAGAAATCAGCCTCCTCCTCCTCCTAACAGAGAAGAGGGTGCAGCCGACTTGCTAAAAAGACTGCATCGTCCCCTAGCTGGGCAGTTAGGCCTTCCACAGCCACTGCATTTGCAGTTCACATCTAAGTGCAATCAGTGGAGCTTTATAGTCTGCATAATTTCAGCCACTGTATCTTTGCATGTTGTTACATGCTGTCAAGGAGGAGCGGATTCATAGCGACAGTAATGGCTCTCAAGGCCAGTGAGAGATTTAAGGAGCAGCTTTACCAGGTTCCATCCCCCCAGTCAGTTTCCATAGTTGATGGGGATTTGAACCCTGTACTCCAGAGTCCTAGTCCCCCTCTCTCTCCACTGCAATGCCATGCCCCAAAAAACATACCAGCACAAAACAAATACATAGCAATACTGTTTGTAGCTCTTATCCCCTAGTTATAGTTTTAGGATGGACATGCTAATTCTCACTGAGCCAGGAAACTGGCAGGGTGACATTGGGTCAGTCCTTGTTGCAGCCTATTTGAGGATGCACAAACATCCTCAAATAGTGTGGAATAAGACAATAATGCACACACTACCTTGAAGTTGGAGAAAAGTAGTACATAGCATTACTGTTTGTAGCTCCTATCCCCTAGTTATAGTTTTAGGATGGACATGCTAATTCTCACTGAGCCAGGAAACTGGCAGGGTGACATTGGGTCAGTCCTTGTTGCAGCCTATTTGAGGATGCACAAACATCCTCAAATAGTGTGGAATAAGACAATAATGCACACACTACCTTGAAGTTGGAGAAAAGTAGGATATAAGTGTAACTAAGTAACAACTGGAAAAATGAGGAACGCTTTATATGTAGGAAGATACACACATTACTACTGTAGTCCTCTGGGTTGTTGCAGACCTCTCACTCTTGTGAACTGAGATGTATGGTTTCAGCTACTCTTGTTTCCTTGAAAATAAGACAACACTCCCTTTAACATGCTGGCACCAGTTGATCTCTTTTTCAACCTATACTGTAATTCCTATGAAAGACCTAGGTCCATTCAGTACTGAACTTTTAAACAGAAACAGGTTTATTGATTAGAAGTTGTTTTAGAACTACTGTAGTTCTTAAGCACATTCTTAAAGTTACACAAAGCTTCAGTATTTTACTTTAATTTCTTCTATCTTAATTAATACAGGTCACACTCTGACTAATCACTCCTTAATCATTCTCTCTGCCTCAAACCCCCAAGTGTTTTTTCTCTAGCTCTCTGATTGAACTCTAGACTCATTCACCTCTCCCTTCCAGTTTCTCTGGCTCTGCCTCCCAACAGCTCTCATTGGCACATGCAAGTAATCTTCTACTTGAGCCAAAGCAGGGTGATCACTACACTAGTATAACAGCTAACCAATAAAAAAGTGATGGTGCTAAAACAATAAAGTGAAAACGTGAACAACTAAGAGTCAGTGTGGAACACCTTCCTGAAAAGCCACATCTTCTATTGCCTCCTGAATGTCCACAGGGACCAGGGGCAGGCAAAGCTCCTCCTGAAGCTAGTTCCACAAAGTTGGAGCCACCGCGAAGAAGGCGCTGCCTCTAGTAGATGACTTATGGGCCTCCCTCAGGGTGACCACCTGAAGGAGCCTTGCCTGTGATGATCTAGTGAGTCAGGCAGATGACATTGGGGAAAGATGGTCTGACAAGTAGTTATGATAATTGAAAGATATTTTTAGTGACTGCAAAATTGAAGATAATAAATGTAGAACAGGCAACTGCTCTTGAGTCAGGCAGCCTAGGCTGCCTCTGTTACAATTACCAACATCAGTTAGAAGGCACAATAAGAACATGGAAGGCACAACTTGTGGGTGAACTTTTGTCGCGCTCCCCCAGTGTCCCCTGTTTGTTTTTCCTCTCACAGATTCACCTTTGGACACGACTTATTCTTTTCTCCTGTTTTAGCTGCCACCAGAGAGTATTACTCTCACTGTCCCAATTATGAATCTCACACTCTTGCTGCCAAATATAGCAAGGTTTATTTATGGTTTGGTTGGTTAATCACAGAAGGAAGATCATGGATGTTCTTTTATTATTCATTCAATAAACATGGATATAATTACATGTATGCTTGTTTGAATTCATTCTCTTTAATCAAGGTCTCAATATATTCTGACTATGTATTTCTAATTCCTTTTAACTCTAATATTCTCTAACACACCAATTTTCCATTATCTTGTCTAAACACTTCTCAATTTTCTACCTAACTCTCTTTGTCTCTCCCATTTCCATTGACTCTGCGCCTCCTGTCCTGTCATAGGCTTCTGCATTAGAGCTCTACAATGACTGACAGGAGTGACGTGCGGGCCGTCCGCCACATACCTCCCCCCTTGGAAAGTTTGTATCATGGGGTAACACGTACAGTAGGTTACCCTCATGAACATCGTATGAGATAACTTACCCATATTTAAAATTTCTTCTTTATAACATTGCTCAGTTAAACATATACCCTATATACTCACTCAATTACACAGTTTAAAGCACTTTAATATTGTTACTTTATATTTAAATTACATTTATCAACATTTTTATTATAATACAAACCTTATTTGCCATTAATTCATTTATAACTTACATTTTTAATTAATTTTTCAAATTAATACATACTTAGAAATTTTTATTAGGATAGTATTTATAACATTAAAGTTACATACAGTATTACCTTAGTCCCTTTTGTCAGTCTTCTGGTCGTCTTGACAAGGCAGTGGCCACCACATTTTTAGTCCCTTTAACACTCCAGATCTCAAAGTCACAGTCTTGTAGGAGTATGGCACACCTCATCAACTTCTTATTGTTTGCTCTGATAGTCCGCAACCACAGCCATGGGGAATGGTGTGTGCATGGAACAAAATGTCTTCCCCATATGTACAATCCAAGCTTCCGCAAAGACCATACAATCACCAGACACTCACGTTCTATGGTGGAAAGGTGTCTCTTGCCTGCCTGCAGCTTCTTGCTCAGGAACGTCACCGGATGAAGGTCCCCGTTGTCGTCCTCCTGGCTCAGTACAGCTCAATGGAAATCTGGTGCTCTCAGGACAGTTTTTAACTCCTCGAAGGCCTCCTCCCGGTCGCTCAATCACTGGATCTTCTCGGCTTTTCTTTTGTGGATTAAGTCTGATAAAGGGGCCTCTATTTCGCTGAAGTTCTAGATAGTGCGCCTGTCATAGTCACCTAACCCTAAGAAAGATCTGGTCTTCTTTGTTGCTGGTCTAAGCCAGCTACTGATTACTTCAGTCGATGTTAGGGGTTTGATTATGTCTCCCCCAACAGTATGGTCTAAGTATTTTGACTCAGAGTTACCCAGCTGGCATTTACTAGCCTTCACTGTTAGTCCGTCCTCAGTTAACCTTAGTAGCACTTTCTCAATAAGGTATAGGTGTTCTGTCCATGTCTGATTATAGATTCTTATATTTTTCATGTATGCTACAGTGAATTCTCTAAAATTTCTAAAGTTTACATGGACCACTCTTCAACCTTCCTCTCCTTCCTCCTGAATTATGTAATTTACTTCCTTCATCTTGGATTTTATTCTAAAAGGACCTGTCCAGTTTAATTGCATCTTATTCCCTTTTATAGACCTCAGCTTCAGGACTTTCTCTCCTAGACTGAACAATCTTTCTCTGGCCTTTTAATCGTACCATAACTTCTGATTTCCTTGCTGGCCACAGCCTTTTCATAAATCTGGAAGTGAAGGATGTTCCCAAATCATTGACAATTTCTGAAGCGAAGCCCATGCGACACATATAGTTCACCAAGGCATTTGCCACAGTTTCAGTCTCTATATTTCACAATGGAACAACTTCTGGATATCTGGTGGCATAATCTATTATTGTTAAAATGAAACAGTTTCCCCTTCTAGTTACTTTAGGTAGTAGTCCCACAATGTTCAGGCCTATGCGTTGAAATGGGGTTGATATAATTGGTAAAGGGCACAATTTAGCTTTAGTTTTGTCATCGCCAGTACCCTGCCTCTGACATATGTCACAGCTTTGACAATATGATCTTATTTGCTTCCCCATCCCAGACCAGTAAAAATTTTGTGCTATCCTGTGCTTTGTGCATGTGATCCCC